TCATATGGTGTTTCTGGGAAAGTTTTTGAGATTATCAAATCATTTCTTTCTAACCGGTTTATTAAAGTCATCCTTGAAGGCCAACACTCTTCTTTATTTCCAGTAACTTCTGGGGTTCCCCAAGGTTCCATCCTGGGCCCTGTTTTGTTTCTTATCTACATAAACGATCTTCCTGACAACCTTTCATCTAAAGTAGCTCTTTTTGCTGATGACTCAACCTTATACTCCTGTCTTGACGAAAAGTCTTCTCTTTTCGATTGCCTAGAACAAGCAGCTGACCTTGAATCCGATCTCACTTCAGTAATAGATTGGGGTTCACAGTGGCTTGTGAATTTCAACTCTAAAAAAACCCAGTTGCTTACTGCAAACAACTACCGTAATATGGTCAACATTCCTATATTAATGAATGGCGATCCTCTTACTGAGCCCTCCTCTTTACGTCTTCTTGGATTATCGCTTACTACTGACCTTTCATGGAAACCATATATACAATTGATTGCTAAATTAGCTTCTGCTAAGGTTGCTTCTCTTTATCGTGCTCGCCATTTCCTTACTTCTGATTCCATTCTCTACCTCTACAAATCTCTTATTCGTCCCTGTATGGAATACTGTTGTCATATTTGGGCTGGTTCTTCTAACGATTCACTTTCTCTTCTTGACAAGGTCCAAAAACGCATTGTAAATGTTGTTGGACCTGGACTATCTGCTAAGCTTGAACCTCTTTCCCATCGTCGTAAAGTTGCATCTCTTTCTCTTTTCTACAAATACTATCATGGTCACTGCTCAAAGGAGTTATCATCTCTAGTTCCATCAACTAAAATTCATTCTCGTTTTACTCGTCATTCAGCTAAGTCTCATTCGTTTACTGTATCTGTTCCTGCATGCTCTAAAAACTTTTATTCATCTAGTTTTTTTCCCCGCACTTCAATCCTTTGGAACTCTCTCCCATCTTCATGTTTTCCTGACTCATACAACCTTCAACTTTTCAAGTCTTCTATCAACCATTTCCTTGCTCTATAACTCTGTTCTTTTTTTCCTAGTAACTCCCAACTTAATAGTGGTTGCTTGCAGCCTTGTTGGGAATGAATGCAAATAAAAAAAAAAAAAAAAAAAAAAAAACTGCTTAACTTGCACTTAACCTAAGAACTTAAAATGTTGCCATATTTTAACAATGTAATCCTTGTATTCTTTGCAAAAATTGAGATGATTATGAATACTTTTTTGAGAAAGACAATCATTACAGTACAATCGAAGATAAAAGTCATGGCAGAGTGTCTTCCAACTGTGCAGACATTAACATTCACACTAGGAGCCAATTGAGTAAGAATTTGTAAGTTTGAGTTTGTGTGTTTTTCATAACCAAACACCATGTTGTATGTTTTTGGAGCAGTAATTTTTGGTCTTCTAGAGTAGGGTGTCCTAAAAACATACTTTTTTTAAAATTTCAATGTGGTCTCCACTGATACCCATTCTATAGGTCCTAAATAGTTACCAAAATCTTTATTTTTATTTTTTAATGAATAGAAGTGATGGATGTAAATTCTGAGTTTTATGGTATTGTACACAAGGGTATTTACATAAAAACAGCGCTATCTAGTATTTCAATAGGTTTTAATATGATGTAGTAATTGGTACACAAATAATTCCCATAGGATATTATTAAATAATTGGATCATTCCCTATGAACATTGTTAGCGATTGATATAATTCTCTCTGGACAATATTATTAGTTGGTATAATTCCTCATGGATTGGTTCACAAATAACTCCATTTAGAATTTTTTTTTGAAGGAAAAAATTTCTAAATGGAATTATTTGTGCACGAAGGAATTCTAATTTGTGCACGAAGAAATTCTTGTGTAAACGGTTATAAAAACCTACTATCAATTACTATCAATTTATCCTTCGCGAGTCACAAGTAAAATACAAACCCACTTCTACTATTGTTGGTTGCAAATTGAAATCGAAATCTAAGGATCTTGTTTGTGAAAACGGTGTTTGTACAGATTCTGATAACTCTTGCTTGGTAACTAGGATTAAAAAAATTTGGGATAATGCTGGGTTTGGTAAGAAATTTGTTATTTCTGGGTACAATATAAAGACCAAAATCATTAAACTTAATCTAAAATACAAGAAATTGATTAAATTGTCTTCTCTAAACTGGAACAGCAGCCTTGATAAGCAATCAAAGTTAGAGAAAGATTTTCTCACAGAATCCTATCAGCTTTTTGACATCTCCACTAAGAATTTTAAAAAAGATATTCTTGCTGATAGATTGAGAATAAATGACGCCAAGCTGGAAGATATAAAGTAAGTTCATTAAATAACACTTTTTTAGTAGTGAGATTTTTTTTCCGATTTAAAGAAACTTAAGTAATAGCATATTTTTTCCTTTAAAACATTTACGTTAAACTCCTTCCATGGTTTGACCATCTTCTAGGAAAAACTAGAACAATTATCAATTTATTTATAAATGTGTTAATAGAATTAACTATTTCTTAGTTTTTATGAAAACAACGTTTGTTCCCATTTTTATGGGAACAAACGTTGACTAAGACTGCAGAGGAGAGTACTGGATGCAAACAGGAGAAAGAGCGAGCTAGTTGAGAGAGAAAGAATTAGAGAGACAGAAAAACGTAGAAGATATCAATGATGTTTTGTAGTCACATGACTCCATGACAGAAGAAATTTAATTCAGCAGTGAAGAAAAGCCAAATGAGGACTCTGAAATCAGTGAGGAAAAAGATTTTCTGGG